GTGGGGGGGAAGTTCGTGGGGCAGTAGGTAAAAAAAAAGGGGGTAAGGCACGGATTGATGGGATAAAATAGAAAGTTAAAAGAGTGGGGAATAGTTTTGGAGTGGTGGTGCAATTATTTAAAAATGATGAAGAGGTAAGGTACCTATGATTGGAGAGAGCAGCATAGTTCCTTTGTATAAAGGCAAAGGGGAAAAAATGAGTGCAAAAATTATAGGGGAAAGTCTGTTATTACCTGTAAAGGAAAGGAGAGTTTTTAAATTTAAAGAATTAAGAGTAAGACGGAGAATAGGATAGCAGATAACAAGGAGGCTTTAGGGAAAAGGTAGGGGGGTGTGGACCAGGGTTTACAGTGAAACAATAAGTGAACGTATTTTTGATAAGGCTAAAGAGGGTTTTTTGGGGATTTTTGGATTTGGAAAAAAAGGGATGACAGGGTGGATAGGGGGGCAATGTGGCAATTTTCAATGTAGGGGTAGGGGGTAGGGTTTCTGAAAGCAGTGAAAAATTTTTAAGGGTAGTGAGGCTCAAATTTGAGTATTAGGAAGAGGGGAAATTTTTTCCCCGTAAAAGAGGCCTTTGAAAGGGTGTGTGATTACCGTGGTGTTTAAAAATATTTTATAGATGGGGGTTTTAAAGGGAAAAAATGCGGGGTCTTGGGAAGAGGGGTGGAGTTAAAAGTAAAGAATCACACCAAAAAGTGGGGTTGTCACAGCTGCTCTTTGCTGATGACACTGTGCTTTTGGAGATTCTGAAGAAAGCTGAAAAGGGATTGGTGGTGATTTGTGGGGTGGCAAAAAAAAAAAATTTAAAGGTGAATAAGGAAAGAGAAAGGTTATAGGATAACAAAAGATTAGGTGATAAAAGATTGAATATCAATTGGGGGAGAGAGAGGAGGGGGTAACTTTTCAGATATTTGGGAGTGGACTTTTCAGGGTTTGGGTCTATGAAGATGGGGTTGAATCATAGAATTGATAGGGAAAAAGATGAGGGGTGCATTTAGGAGTCTGTGGAGACAAAGACTTTGCCCTTTAAAAGGCAAAGAGGGAATGTATGAGAGAAATTTTTACAACGCCTTAATTTGGGGTGAAGCGTGGGTGATGGGGTTGCAGCGAGAAAGGCGAGGGCGTGAGATGTCATTCTGAGGCAATGTGGGGTGTGAAATAATGCAGAGAATTCGTATTTGGAAATTTGGGGGAGGTGCGGATTTCCAAAACTGTTGTCCAAGGGCTGAGGGGGTTGTTGAGGTGGTTCGGACGTAGAAGAATGGAGCGAAACGAATGACTTCAAGAGTGTTTCGTCTGTAGTGGAAGGAAGGGGGGGTGGGGGTCGGCTAAAGGGGTTTTGGAGGGGGGGGGTAAGGAGGTTTTTGTGCGGGGGGCTTGGACTTCCAGCGGGCATGCTGAGGTGTTTATAGGAGTGAATGGAACAAATGGTTTTTAATATTTGACGGCTGTTGGAGTGTGAGCAAAGTAACATTTATGAAGGGATTCGGGGAAACCGGCAGGCCGGACTTGAGTCCTGGAAGGGAAGTACAGTGCCGCCTCTGAAGGGAGGGGTGTTAAGTTGCGTTTAAAAACGAGTGTAAAGCACCCTTCTGGCAAGACAGTGAGGGAGTGAATGATGGTAAAAGTTTTTTTTTTTGGGCCCACCCTCCCCTTGGTGGAATCGGCAGTGTGATAATAAAAAAAAAAAAATTTAATAATATAAATTATATTTGGGGGCCACCCCCCTTTGGGTGGGAATCGGCCAGTGTGATAAAAAAAAAAAAAATATATATATATAAAATACATTAAATATATATATATAAAATTCTGGTAGTAGGTTGGTAAACCCCAAACCCGCCCGGGGAGGTACTACGCCAGCCAAGTGATGAAAAACGAAAACCTTAATTGTTTTACATGATGGTAGGATTGCTGGTGTCCATTTTTCTGTCTCATAAACATGCAAGATTTCAGGTATGTCTTGCTTCTTCTACTTACACTTAGGTCACACTACACATACATGTACAAGCATATATACATGTATACACACCCCTCTGGGTTTTCTTCTATTTTCTTTTCTAGTTCTTGTTCTTATTTCCTCTTATCTCCATTGAGAAGTGGAACAGAATTCTTCCTCCGTAAGCCATGCGTGTTGTAAGAGGCGACTAAAATGCCAGGAGCAAGGGTTTAGTAACCCCTTCTCCTGTATATATTACTAAATTTAAAAAGAGAAACTTTTGTTTTTCTTTTTGGGCCACCCTGCCTTGGTGGGATACGGCTGGTTTGTTGAAAGAAAGAAGAAGAAATATATTATGAAATGATAGAAAATCTTTTTCTGAAAGTAATGAAACCAAAAGTACAAAATTTGATGAAAACTTACAGAATTGTTCTCTCACAATGTTAGTCGTCTCGGTAATATTTATGCATCGGTGATTTCACCCACTTTGCACTCTATTTTTGGCCAATTCCATTGTTCCAGTCCACCAAACTTGTAGCTATTTTGCTAATATTCCTTCTAGCGACTGAGTACAAGAAATTGCCCATTTACCTATTTCAAATACCCAATAAAGTGATTAGAAATCGGTGTTTTGGCCAATTTCATACAAAATTCAATAATTTGCCAATTTAAAAATAGGATTCAGAATAAACAATGTAGACATTTCTGGCACTAAATAAACATTTTCTCTGCTTCTTAATCATGTCTTCAGGCCCCTCTTATGTTATGTTTCCTTTTCATTTTGAATTTTTCTTCACACAAAAAAATAGAAGATTTACTGTTATGCAGACTACTGCATTATTACAATAATTATATAAATAATGTCAGTGCATTCCTCAATGTGTATTAGACTGGCCAGTTGGACATGTACTGGACAAGTGTACTCTGGACGCATATTGGACAAGGGTACTCTGGAATATTAGCAAAACTCAAACATTTCCTCTACATTGGCATTCCTGGCACTATATAAACATTTCCTGTGTTTCTTAGTCATGTCTCCAGGCCCCTCTTATGTTACATTTGCTTTTCAATTTTGGATTTTTATTCACACAAAAAACAGAAGATTTATTGTATGCAGACTACTGCATTATTGTAATAATTGTATAAATAATGTCAGTGCATTCCTAAATGTGTATCAGACAGACCAGTTGGACGCGTATTGGACAAATGTACTCTGGATGCATGTTAGACAAGTGTGCTCTGGAATATCGGCAAAAATCAAACATTTCTGCTACTTTGAGCTCAATTTCAAACTACTTTCAGTCCTGAAACTCTTTATTTCTGTAATATATCTTCCATTCTATCAAATGAAACCAAGAAACTGAGATTACAACCATAAAAAGCATGTGAAAACACACCACAAATTCACTGTTTTAAACCAAAAAAATGGTCGTAGTTTTTTTCCTCATGCGCTATGTGCTGCAGGATTTTTTTTTATATGGTGCACGCTTACCGCATAGACCCATTCATATCTAGGCCCAAATTTACTGCTCACAGCTTATCTGAACAAGCTGAGCTCATGGTGCCATACTATACTACGGGACCAATACTGGCTTCAAAGCCATGATATAATGGGACTAACAATAAAAGGGTTAAATTTCACTGAAGTCCTATAAAAAAATTAAGATAAAAAAAGAAAAAAAAAACTAGAATTTGCATACCTTATATGACCTACTAAAGATGTGAATTAGAATTAGAATTTCGCAAACTGGCACATTTGCAGTACAATAAAAATGCAAAGTTTCCTCTAGATAAGATATATCAGTGATGAAGGCTGGAAGCTGATCTAATGAAACATTCACAAATTAATGCATGAAAACTAATATTTCAATTTTCCATTTTTTCTTTTTAACCCCTTCAGGGTCCAAGGCCCAAATCTGAAGTGGTGCCCCAGTGTCCAAGAATTTTCAAAAAAAAATTTTTTTTATTTTTTCTTAAATGAAATGGTAGAGAATCTTTCTGTGAAGGTAATAAAACAAAAAGTACGAAATTTGATGGAAAATTGACGAAATTATGCTCTCGCGAATTTTGATGTGTCAGCGATATTTACGAATCGGCGATTTTGCCGACTTTGACTCCCATTTTAGGCCAATTACATTATTCCAGTCAACTAAATTCTTAGCTATTTCACTAGTATTACTTCTATTCTATCGATTGAGCACAAGAAATCGCCAAGTCAACTGTTTCAACTACAAATTAAAGTGATCGGAAATTGTTAATTTGGCCAATTTAACACAAAGTTCAAAATATTCCAATTTCAAAATAGGGTCCAGAATAAACAATGTAGGTATTCCTGGAACTACACTAACATTTCCTCTGTTCATTAGTTACATTTTGAGGCTTTACAAATAAATTCCATTTTACTGTTATGCAATACTGTAATAATTGTATAAATATCATCACCATAAATGCCACATATTAGACCCACCAGCTGGCGTGTATTAGACGTGTGAGGTCGTTTGTTTACTCTTGAATATCGGCAAAAATTTAACATTTCTGCTACTTTGAGCTCAGTTTCAAGCCATTTCCAGTGCGAAAACCAATCAAAATCATCTCTATTTCTGTAATATGTCTTCCATTCTATCAAATGAGACCAAGAAATCGCAAATAGAACTATAAAAAACATACAAAAAAACACTGCAAAGTCGCTGTTTTAATCGAAAAATCATGATTTCAGTTTTTTTCTCTCATTATACACAGCGTGCTGCAGGATCTGTTTTATGTGGTGCACACATACCACATAGATGTATTCTCTCATATCTAGGGCCAAATGTACCACTCACAGTTTATCAGAGTGAGCTGAGCTCATGACATAGATCTACGGTTTGGACCCTGAACGTAAAGCTGTAGATCTACGGGACGGACCCTCAAAGGGTTAAATTTTCAAATTTCCTGATATTTTATCTAAGATAAATACCACTACTAAAATTATGTATAGGAATAATAAATATAATCTCTAAACAAAAGATTAACAAGCTTAAGATGAAATTGCACATGAAGTCATTATCATATAAATACTTACTCTTGTAGTTGTTTTGGTAAGGGTCATGTATGCAAACACCCCAATATCCGTAACCATCAGTGTTATAAGAACCAACAGTCGAGCCCAGTTTAATGGCATTTCTGCCCAATTGATGATGATGTTAGCCAGGTGAGCAGCTATAAGTGCATAGCAGCCTCCAGATGCACCCACCAGATATGACTGTGGAGTGGAAACTTGTATAAGACAACATATTAAGCACATGCACACAAACACTGAAAGTCAGTTTTTGGTCTTCATATAGTTTTGAAAATTTAAATGAAAATCATGAGTTAAAAAAATTATAAACATTATACAATATATCTGAAACCAAAATAGTATGTGTAATAATCAATGTGTAATTATGTACCTAACTGTAGCAACTGGAGCAGATCTGAACCCATGGTGATCTAATGTTAGCATCTCTTGTTTATTAGTGTATATATGTACAGTAACTTTGTATTCTCCACTACTGTACAGTAGGGTCCAATCATATGGCAGGTTAGGTTCCAGGCTACCGCTGAAAAGCGGACATAGCTGGAAAGCAGAATGCTATTTATTCCACTTGTGATTAAATGCTAGATAACAATTTTTACACTAACATATATTAAGCTAGCAATAGAACTTGGCATTAAAGACAAAAAGAAAAAATACACACGCAGTACACTCATTACTTACCTTAAAATATTTGTCGTCTTAATGTAGGGTGGAGGTGAGTAGTATTATTGTAAGAGGTCAGGTGTGGTAGGTAGGGCCCACCCCGCCCACATGTAATAGACATTTAACCCTTTCAGGGTTGAGAGGCCCTCTCCCAAACTTGTTCTCGGGGTCGGAATTTTTCGGACAAAATAAAATGATTTTTTCTTATGAAATTATAGAGAATCTTTTCTCGATCATAATGACACCAAAAGTATGAAATTTGATGGAAAACTTACGGAATTATGCTCTCGCGAAGTTAGCATCTCGATGTGTTCACGTATCGGCGATTTCGCCCACTTTAAAGCCCTTTTTTTGGGCCCAAATTTCCCAATGTACCAGCCGACAAAATCATGAATATTTCGCTAGAACTCCATTTTTTCTATCGAATCAGTACAAAAAACCACCCATTTATCAATTTCAACTATCCAATAAAGTGGTCAGAAATTGGCAATTTTGCCAATTTCACACAAATTTCAAAAGATGCCAATTTCCAAATAGGGTCCAGAATAAACAAGACAGACATTCCTGGCACTAAAATAACATTTTCTTGTTCATTAGTAATGTCCCATGCCCCTCTTACATTTCTTTTGCTTTCCACTTGAATTTTTATTCTCACAAAAAAAAGAAGATTTACTGTTATGCAGACTACTGCATTAGTGTAGAATGGTATAAATAATTTTCAGCGCACTTGTGAAAGAATATCAGACTCACCATTTTACGTGTATTGGGCGCGTGGCATGATTTGTTTACTTTTGAACTTTGGCAAAGTCAAAACATTTCTGCTACTTTGAGCTCAATTTCAAGGTATTTTCATTGTGAAACCAATCAAAATTATCTCAATTTCTGTAATATGTCTTCCATTCTATAAAATGAGACCAGGAAAATGAGAATACAACCATAAATACCATACGAAAATACAGTGCAAAGTTGCTGTTTTAAACCAAAAACACTGTTGGGTTTTTTTTTCTCTCTTATGCACTGTGCTGTAGGATTATTTTTATACTGTGCACACTGACCACAAGACCCGTTCTTTCATATGTGGCCAACCAGCTTTTTCTTACTAGATTTGAAGGCGCTAGAATTTACACGTACTAGTAAGGCACCAACCCTGGCGTGCAAGCCATATTAGTATGACACCGACCCTGAAAGGATTAAAAGAGCCCAGAGTAATAAAATGCATATACAGTATACTCATTACTAACCTTAAATATATGTAGTTTTAATGTAGAGTGAGAAGTGAGTGAAGGAGATAAAACAAATGAAAAGAGAGAGAGAGAGAGAGAGAGAGAGAGAAAAGAGAGAGAGAGCAGAGAAGAGAGACAGAGAAGAGAAGAGAGAGAGAAAGAGATGAGGACAGAGAGAGAAGGGCAGAGAGAGAGAGACAGAGAGAGAAGACAGAGAGAGACAGAAAGCAGAGACAAGGAGAGGAGACAAAAGAGAGAACAGAGAGAAGAGAGGGAGGAGAGGAACAAGAGAGAGAGACAGAGAGAGAAAGGGCAAGAGAGAGAAGAGACAGAGAAGAAGACAGAGAGAGATGACGAGAGAGAGAACAGAGAGAGAAGACAGAGAATCGAGAAGACAGAGAGGAAGACGGAAGAGAGACAGAGAAAGAGAGAGACAAGGGGAGAGGGCAGAGAAGACAGAGAGAGAGACAGAGAGAGAGAGAAGAGAGAGAGAAAGAGAGAGAGAGAAAAGAAAACAGAGAGGAGACAAGCCCAAAAGAGAGACGAGAGAGCAGAGACAGAGAGAGAAAAAGAGAGAGAAAGAGAAGAAAGAGAGAGAGAGAGAGAAGAAGAGAGAGGAGAAAAAGAATAGTCAATGAGAAGGACAAAGACGTGGAGTACGAAAAAATGAATGCTCGGGTTTATGGTTCATACACGTTCTTTTCCATTTTTGTGAAAAATTTACCATAATAAAACACTTACATTTGGTACAATTGTCTCCCTTGGTGCATAAGTAAAAAAAGAGCAAACTCCCTCTCACGAAACACACCATTTTTGAAGGAATAAGCTCTGAGGAAACAACAAAGGGAAAATTTTTCACAAGAAACCCCCCCCCCCCCCAAAACTACTGTGTACACATTTTTGGTGTTGAACTGGGAAAACGTTATTCTTTCCGACACCCACAAGAAAACTGGGAAAAACACCAATTAGTTAATTTTTATTCACCGGGGGGTGTATTTTCATGTTTATGTTAGTAGCATGTTATTATATAATTTTTAAAAAAAAAAAAATCAAGATGGAGAATGAAAAATGTTTAATTAACCCTTTCGGGGTCACAGGCCCTCTCAGGATTTGTTCCGGGTCCCCAAAAATTTAAAAAAAAAAAAAAAAAATTTTCTTAGAAAAATAAAAATCCTTTCCCCGATCATAATGAAACCAAATTTTGATGGAAAACTTAGGGAAATTTTTGATGGAAAACTTAGGGAATTTTGCCTTGCAAAGTTTAGCGGTCTCGACATTTTTAGCTCAGCGTTTTTTTGCCCACTTTGACCCCCTATTTTCGGTAAATTCCCTGTCTAGGCGACAAAAATCATGAAACTTCGCTAAAACTCCTTTTTTTTCTACAAATAGTGCAAAAACCACCCTTTTTACTGTTTTTCAACTATCCAATACAGTGGTCAAATTTTTAGCAATTTTCCCAAATTTTTCACAAAAATTTCAAAAGATCCCAAATTTCCAAAGGGGGTCCAGAAAAACCCAAGAAAACTTCCGGCACAAAATGACTTTCCCGTTCATTATCACATCCCAATCCCCCAAAACTTTATTCTTTTTTTCCACTTTAAATTTTTTTTTTCCACAAAAAAATAAAGATTTACTGTAAGCAGACACTCCAAGTGTAAAAAAGGTATAAATAATCAGCGCACTTTGAAAGAAATTGACTCCCTTTGAGTGTAGGGACGCTTAGCTGATTGTTTACTTTTGAATTTTGGTAAAAATCAAACATTTCTGCTACTTTGAGCTCATTTTTCTAGGATTTTTCATTGAAAAAATCAGTCAAAATTTCCTCAATTTCTGTAATAGTCTTGCATTCTAAGAATGAACCAGAAAACAAATACAAAAATAAACACCAACAAAATACAGTGCAAAGTCGCTGTTTTAACCAAAAACAGGGTAAAAGTTTTTTTTTTTCTCAATACCACTGTGGCTGGGGGATTTTTTTTTATACTCGCAAAATGACCAATGACCCTTTCTTTCTTCTTATTATCATCATTATTAATACGGCATCTTCAAACAAAAGACCCCTTCAGTGTTTTTAATGTTACCTGCAGCTAACACGGTGCAATTTTTATTTATTTCGGGACACTAAGTATAATTATCAAGAAAACAGTGTACCTTGTTTTATGATTTTAATTTGTTCTGTGACCAGCTCGAAACCCAAAATTCTTTTGTATATCATAAAATTTTTTCCCACTGAAATTAAATTGAAATCCCAATAATCGTTTCGGGAATTTTCTGGCTCTCAGGCACAGGAAAAATACTTCAACAAACACATAAATCTAGGGCTTATTTATCTATCACATTGATCAAATATGCATAATAAACAAAAAATAACAAACATATGTATTACAACTCTATAAGAATAAAATATGTCTTTATTGACTATGGGGGGGCCCACTCCCGAGAAAAAAAAATTACCCGTTCGACCAAGCTTCCCATTTTTTCCCCTTTTGGGTATTAAAAAAAAAAGCAGGTTTGTGACTAACTGCACAGAGCACTAGTTTTCTAAGAAAAACTGAACAAAAAATTTTCTCACTTTTTTCATGATTTCATGCAAATTTCAATGGACATCCCCTCCTCCTCTTCGTCTTACCGCCTTTCACTTACTTTCTTAGGACCTATATTTAAAAAAAAAGAATTTGGCAAAATAACTGCACAAAAAGCACAATCATGGGATCTGGGGGGATGTTGGGGCTTTCCTGCGCCAACTGTGGTGGCTATCTAAGCTCCTTGTAACCGGATTTTGGCTCGAAACCAAACAAAAAACTGACCGAGTACAGTTTTTTTAACCGGGAAAACTCTTAATTGGGGGCACTTGAAGTCGGGGAAAACCATGTAAAATAAAATATGAAATACCTCACATAAATTTTACGACCTGGGACATACGACCACTCGACTTATTCCTGCATTGCACAGGGCTGCCAGACGCCGGTCAATGCAGCAGTATAAGAAAATCCTTTATTGACAACTTTTTCCCACACAAGTAGAGGTAGAGCAGTTTTTAAAACATGTGGTAGAAAGTCAGCTGGTACTAAAAAAAAGGTTACAAACTAGGGCTTGGGCAGCATAAAAAATGGTTGGGCAAATGTATATGGATGGAGGGATTTGAGAAGGCATTTTTTCAGTGCCCCTTTCTAAACCAAATTCAAATTTTTTTGTTTTTTTAAAAATTTTTACAATGTGTGACTGACTGTTTTAAGAGTCTATATTTCCATGCATATTTTAACAATGTTTAAAATTATAATGTTGATTTGAAATGCAAAA